ACATCAGCATTATCACTGTGAGCATGTATGCAAGCTGACATTAGTCATTTAGCTCCAAGCACCACTGTGCTGTGCCTCACTACAGCCTCAGGGAGCTGCTAGCACAACTGCAGACTTGTTTTTATGGACTTTGTGCTCTTACAGACTTGAAATCTCTTGTTTGCCCTAACACCTGGTCTTGTCCTGTCTGTCTAGGGTCCTACTGGAAAGCCAGGTTTGACAGGAGTGCCAGGAGCTGATGGTCCACCAGTAAGTTGATATACCACATATGCAAAGAAATGAATGTGTGTAAAACAGCTTCTCTCTTTCTCTTTATGTTTTTTATTGGCATAATGTGAAAACCCACATTTTAAAAGCAGCACATCAAATTTTAATGTTTAAAAACCACTTAACACATTCATAGCATAGTGAGATAATCATTTGGCTGAAACATATGTATGATATAATAAATTACCACACCTTTATAACAGTAGAACAACCCACCCACACAGACATACTGTAGAAATGTAAGCACTCTTTTTCCCATCCCTGCTCATATAGCACAGAAGACACCTGCACTAATGGCAGATGTGTGTTGGATGGCACCAGGTGGCGCCTACAGTAAGAGAGACGAGACAAGAGAGGCTGTGAAATATGAATAACTATACGGAAAGAAAAAGGCACAGGGGGATAATGTAAGGAATGAGGGATTTAGCGAAAGAGAGGAAAAAGTGATAGTGGAGAGTGAACACAAGGCTTAGAGTAGAAACATGTCTGCCATTTACACACTCAGCTTTTTGGAAATTCATCTACTGGTTACATCCTCCATCATCTGCTGTGTTCGCTCTCTCATTCTCAACGCTCCCTCCCTGCCCCTCACTTTAGCTCTCTCTAGTATCTATTTCCTTCTCTATCCTCTCTCATGTCACTAAAAACCCATCAGAGGCTTTGCACAGCTGCTTTGTCTCATGAGTATTGAATCAATTTCCTTCCAGTCATTTTTTTTTGTTACCTGACATCAATGTGTGTATTAGATGTGTGATGTCTGCATTGTGGTTGTGCACACATGCATGTACAGTATGTGTGCAGTGTACTGTGTAAATCCCAAAGCAGTAGTCTTTGTTTTTAGAGCTCAGTAACAGCTGTAGTCCTTCTATAACACTGTGCATTAAAGATAAAAAATCACAAATGAGATTGAAGTCTAATGATACTTAATCCGATTTTCCAGTGTGAAATGTCCTACAAGGGTTTTATAACCTAATCCTTCAGTTATAGGGTGTGTTGCAGTATTTATGGTGGTAATAATCCTGTAATGAGATGCAATAATATTTCTTTTAATAATTCACAGGGTCACCCTGGAAAGGAGGGGCCTCCTGGAGAGAAAGGACACATGGTATGTTTCGTTTCTTTCTCCATTTCTCCCACTTTTGGAGCTTTTTTTTTTGTCATTTCAGGCACATTTGCTTAAAATATTTTGCATTAATGTACTGTAATGTACTGTGTGTGCATGTGTGTAAAGCAATTATGTGTGTTACAAGCTGTCACCCAACGTTTCTCTCTCCAGGGCCCTGCTGGCCCTCAGGGACCTATTGGTTATCCTGGGCCCCGAGGCATGAAGGTCAGTGGATTATCACCCTCTGCGGAAATCATGTGTAATATTATTATCTACTAGTGTTTTGCAGTTAACAGCTGGTATGGGCTTATCGTTGCCAATTAACATTTTAAAGTTCCTCTGAAAAAACATATTAATTCCAAGGTTTATATCCAAGAAACCAAGCATCATTTAGTAAAAACAACATTCCCTTAAAAGAACTGTATTGTTTGGTTTGATCTGCTTTTATTTCATAGACAAAAACTCTTAGTGATGCAAAGATTAAGACAGGAAAGTCAGTATCTCCGATCCTACATCTTTTAGCTCCCATAAGGTGATGCTCAGGCTAGTCAAGACACACAGCCCTTGTTTGGTGTCAGCTGATCAAAACAAAACAAAAGAAGTCCCCTCAAACAATTCTTTGTAAGAGGATGTGACTGATTCTGTCATTAAAGCTTCCACTGGGAGAAGAGTGGACCACACAAGTGGCTTGACTTCTAGCTAACAGGGAGCCTGTTACATGGCTGAAGACTGAAGTGTCTGCTCTCTCTGGGACGATGAGAGGGCTGGTCATGGAGGTTGTGAAGACCTCATATGCTAAAGTGCAGAGAAAACATATAAATGCGTCAGTCACAGAGTGCACCCTTCTTCGCATGTTTGTCTGACACATTTGACAAAAAATAACAGTGACAGTCACTTACATCATATGACATGTGTGACTTTGAAGCCTTGCTTTGTAAAAACTGTGGCCATCACATTGGTCCTGACTGTTGTTCTGTCATGGTGGGACTTGATGCTGTACCATCCGACCCTCTGCTTTGTCCAGTCTGGACCCTGTCAGCCTGTAACTTCTTATGTCTCATCTTGCTTTACAGGGAGCCGATGGTGTGCGCGGCCTCAAAGGAAACAAGGGTGAAAAGGTGTGAAAACAAGGGACAGAAATATTTTTAGTATTTGCATGTGGTGCTCAGGATGATGCTGGTGCTGCTGAAATCTTTCATTCTAATGATTATCTTAGTGAAATTCTGTAGAACTCTGAATTGAATTTTGCCAGTACACAAGAGAAATGACTTTCAAGAGTTTCTATGGCAACAGAAGCTCCGCAGCACACACATATTTGCATGTGTGTATAGGTGTGTTTGTCTTTGAGTGTGTGTCTGTGTATGAATAAAACACAAATGGTGTCAACATATGTATTATTCAACTCTTTGTCCCTCATTACCTCACAACTCTTATCTCCTTTATTCACTTGGCAGGGAGAAGACGGCTTCCCCGGCTTCAAGGGAGATATGGGTGTCAAGGGCGACAGGGTGAGACGTCTTTGTTTATATTTTACTTAACAGTACGTGTCAGTCACATCTTGCGTGCCGGAAGCAAGTGGAATATACAGATTTGGCAGCTGTAATTTCTGCACTCAAAACTGCTTTGTGGCTAGGTTTTGTTGGAGGTGACCTTTAATTGAACTAAGCGAAAGGAGCAACCGCTGCTGTCACGTTAGTCCCTTATGTCCTAAGCCTTTGCGACTACTGCAATTGTGGGTAATGAGCAAACATAAGGTGTTCCAGTTGCCAGCTGTTAGTGTGTGTACGTGCGTATATGTTCATGTGAGCAGTTTCCAGTTCTTTCCAGTCAGTTCTAACCTTGACAACTTTAGAAGACAAGCACAAGTTTGACAGGTCTACACAGCAGCGGCTTCCTTTTCTAAACAGCTCAACTCATGTCAGCTCATGGGGAAAATGCCTTTTATAGTGAGAAACATAAATTACTTTAAACATCAAACTCTGATCTCTGACCAGCCTGGCTAATAACTGAGTGCAGAATGGAAGGAGAAATCAATGGCACTTTAAACCCCTCCAAAGCCAAGAGAGACGGGGGGGGCTCCAGCCTGTTTTCCTCTGGAGATGTAGCAGATCCAGGTGAAAGCAAAGATTTGAGGAGGCTCTTTGCTCTGGATGAGACACATGTGGACTAGAATCTAAATGGCTCATTTTTAAGCATGCCTATGAAAAGTGTGAGTGTGTGTAAGTGCTCAGTTTAAAGTGTTCTCTCTGATGAGCTTGCAAGTGTGAGTCAAGTACAGTTTGCTTGATGTTGTTTTATGTGTACTTGAGTGTGGGCATGTGTGCGCTCTCGCATGCTTGTGCAGCTGCACAAGCCTTTAACTAGATACCTCTCACACACCACTGGGTCTCCACAGCAGCGACCGGTTGTCAGAGTGACTTTGTACTCTCTCATTTACTCTGCTCAAAATGTTGTAAAGGAATGATGTAATACAGCATGAACCATATGTTTTTAATGACAAGTTATGACGTGATAATATTCAGTATTTTATGCTCTCATGAAATGAGCACAGCATTTCCACGCATCACTCACAGGACGAAGCCGACACTGAACATACAATAGGCTTTTGAGACTTTTAATCTCTTCTGAGATTTTACCCATTAGTTTTGATGAGCATACCAGGATGTACAAAGCACAGTAAACGATTCTTGCCAATTGGAGATGGCAGTAGCACAAATGTCTAATGTTGTGTTTCACACTAGTCTGCTGATTCACAGTGGGTGGAAGTAATGGACCAAGAAATATAGCAATGCACCAGCAAAAGGGAGGGGAGTGCATACCCAAGTAAACATCACTGGAAACTGTGTAGCTTTAAAAATATTAAAATGATTAAGAGAAAGAAAATACATTCAGCATGTTTGTTAAGTCACTCCATAAAGTAAAGGACAGTGGTAAAAGATAAGTCAGTGTCTGGTATTCAGTTACAAGTATGTAAGACCTGATGATAACAGTGGATTATGTTTAAGTGCAAAGCGTGTGATATTCTGACCTGTGCTTTTTGTGTGTTACAGGGAGAGCTCGGACCAGCAGGACCCAGAGGAGAAGACGGGCCTGAGGGGCCAAAGGGACGCGTAGGTCTCCCAGGAGATGCTGGTCCTCTTGGCCCATCCGGTGAGAAGGTAAGCTTCTTTTGCCAGTTTGACTCCAACAAGTATGTTATGCTGATGTCCCCCAGACGCTGCCTAACTGTTGCACTAACTGATAAGCTGTTCTTTTTGTCTTATCAGCCATGTTTGAGCCATGGTGGTGGCTCAGCAGGGCTTAACAAAGTGAATAGTGTTTCCAGTCATTCTCCTCTAAACAGCAACCAATTTTTCACTGCTGTCGGGCTTGAACCAGCTAAGAGCATAAAATGGATTCAGTTGCTAAAATTATTGAATACTGGATAAGTTGTGCTTACAATCCTTCAGTCATTTTTGTGGTTTCCAAAAAAAACAAAACTTCATTCATTCTTGTAGAGGATGCAGTATTATGGTGTTGGCTTTGCATTATTGATGTAGACACCGGTCTGCATCCGATTCACACGAGGTAACAGCTGAATCATTTCATATTTAATTAGAGCCTGCACAGCACCCAGAATTTCTGCATTCAAATACTGGGCTGGTTCTAATACATGCTGCTGTGTTTAGCAAGTGCTTGTGCACATTTTAATGTCATTTTTAATACTAAAATACAGCAAGACTGCTACTGTTGTAGTTTATATTCACAGATGTACAAATTTAGTATAATGTATGCCTGATGCAGTTTGCTTGTCTGGTGTGTATGTATGCAAGATACTCTAGGAGAACTGCATTGTATAGCATTTAGTTATTTTTACATTTCTGATAACCCATAATAAATACAGAGGTTTCACCTACAAAGAGTATAGTATATATTTAATGGATGCATCACAGGCATTGTGCAATATTGAATTACATAATGTGGGAAGCGGTGCATTAAAGGGACACTCCATGCCCCGATAGCCAAAAGGTTGTGGTGAGACACAGCGTATGTGTGATGTCGGCAGTTTGAGTCTAGATCCTCTTTCCTGTCTGCCTCTCCACGACCTGCTTACTTTGTAAAAATAATCAAATAAATGCATATGCCTGAAAAAAAAAAGAATTAAGGAGACATTCCATCAATTTTATACTTGTTCAGCTCACTCATCGGAGTACTACTCAGCCAGTAAAGACAGTCTTCTTCTTCTAATATTTATTTTAATTACAAACTTGAGGGGTTTTTTTTTAAAATGTTTTTGAAGAAAGTTGGCAATTAGGAGGATAAGCTGGATTTGTAGTATCCATTCTATTTGGAGCTTGACCCATGCTTAAAAAGTCAGAATACCTTTGCCTCTTCTAAATCTTTAAAATCTGTCTTCAACTTTATGGAAGTGCAGTACCTAATAACTGAACTATCTTTTCAGGTAAATCTAAAGAATATGCTTTTCTTTTTTAAACAGGGTAAACTTGGAGTTCCCGGATTGCCAGGATACCCAGGAAGACAAGGACCAAAAGTAACTGTGCACACATTTCTAAACAATATTGGTATTAGTTGACTGATTTCAATAAAGAATAACTTTAAGATCATCATGATAAAGGACACAATCTGTGAACGTCACTGCACGTGTTTCTGTATGTGAAAGAGAATGAAAATGCCTACATATGCATGTAAAGGCTGCTTTGATGGCTCATACTTTAGCCTCTCTGAGGCAGCGCTGCAGTCTGACAACGGGACATGCTTGAACCTCCGTGATCAAAGGGCCGGGGATTTGAATATGCCTTTTGGTGTCAGCACTCAGCTCCTGATACAACAACAAAACATTGCTTTTATATATGGTGCACCCAATCTCCTGTTGCATGGAATAAACTAGGGATGTCTCAGGGAATAAAAAAGAGATGCAATATTTGAGGTTTGTCTGTCAAATTATTAATTACTCCCTTTGTCATACACAGGGATCTCAGGGTTTCCAAGGTTTCCCTGGTGCCAATGGAGAGAAAGGAACTCGGGTATGTGAGATACAGTTATTCTTCTTCTCATTCTTACAAGGGTTGGATCAATACAGACTCCTGTTCCATTTCCTCTAATAAAGATTTTTTTTTCTTTTTTTTTACCAAGGACAAACAGACAATTGCGTTCTTTCTTCATTACCACTTACTCAACCCATTTTGAACCACCAAAAACATTGTTTATCATTTTTTTAGTACTTGAGCAATGTTTCATTTTCTTTGTTTAAGGGCTTGGGCCATTAGCTTGCCTGGAAGAGTAATAGTTTGTCACCAACAGTGGAGCAGGGCACATAAAGCTTTTCATCTTCTCAAAACATTTGTGAAGTTTATGAGACCAAGCTCCCAGACACCAGAGGATAATAGGGTCATTAACACAGCTTTAAAATCATTAGATTTTTCATTATTGTTTATTAAAATGTCCTATTCGGAGGAAGTGATGCGTCTAATGAATAATGATGGTAATGTTGAAGAGTAATTCCTAATTAATGATAAAAGATGAGCTCATAGCACCTCAATGTGCCAGTTCTGTTGAAATCTGCATGTAAATGTTAGTGTCTGCTTGCATCATTCTTCTGGAGGATGCAGCCTCTTAATGATGCAAGTGCTACTCCTTTGATCACTGTGTGCATTCTCCGTGTCCACAGGGAACAGCAGGAAAGCCAGGCCCACGTGGACAGAGAGGACCAACGGTTAGTCTTACTCAGCAGACTCATGCTTGTATACAGATGGCGAGCTTGGCACCAGTGAAAGCAGAGCTTCAACCCGGGCATGCTTGAGGGGAATTCAAACTGTGGCAATAATTAAGCTTAAGATTTCAGGTCTCAAATATTTCTTGGGATTCTTTTGATTTTTGTAATCACATTGTCTTTTCTCAAGGGGCCTCGAGGCGAGAGAGGACCAAGAGGACCAACTGGAAAAGCTGGACCTAAGGTGCATAAAATATTTGACTGTAACTTTCTTGTATATATTATGGTACAAGTTCAACATTTACTTCTTATTATTGTGTCTTCAGGGTAACTCAGGAAATGATGGTCCACCAGGCCCTCCCGGTGAGAGGGTACGTACCACCCAGGATCATTATAGCCTGACAACATGTATCCGTTTCCATAGGAGAGAGCTAATTATTGATCATTTGTCATTTGTTGTTTGCTTTAGGGTCTGCCAGGACCTCAGGGACCAACAGGTTTCTCAGGACCAAAGGGCCCTCCTGTAAGTCCAAGCCGATACACCACACATGGCCAACTGTGTAGACCCACCATCTATCTCTTTGTTGTTCTGTGTGTACTGTATGGATTTGTGTATTTCTCAGGGACCTCCAGGGAAAGATGGGTTGCCTGGACATCCTGGACAGAGAGGAGAGACTGTGAGTAAACTGCTCTGATTACTCAACTCGTCATCTCTATTCCTCAGGGTCAGCTGAATGACAGTTCTTATTTTCTTTGCAATACACAGGGATTCCAAGGCAAGACTGGCCCCCCTGGTCCTCCAGGTGTGGTTGGACCTCAGGTAAGTCACAGTCACTGACAAACTTTCTATGTTGCTTTCTTATAATGTAGTTATCATCAGTGATGCCTTTGCTTGACTGTTGTATTGATTTGGTTGCACAGCTTCTATTGATTACACTCCTTTGTGCAGAAACAAATCTCCATAAAGAGTTAAAATATGCAAGTGTGTATTTGTATTGATCTCAGTGTCTTTTAAAAGTAGTACTCTGTATTGTAAAGCTACTGAGCAAAACGTGCGTGCACAAAAAGACAACAGAAATCTGCAGACTACCATTAAGATGTGCACCAGTAAAGTTACCAGAACACTGTCTCAGCATTTTGTTTGTCTTACAAAAATAATCGATCCCTCATACCTATATCTTATGAGCCATGATTTAAGTATTGTTTATCCTCTTTCATATTAGCAGTGGGCTCTTCATCCATTATTCATAAACATTTAACAGACTTTGCCTTCCAGCTGCTCCACTAATGCCAGCTGAGAACACTGGTGATAACGTAGCTGTATGTGGCCTTAATGACTAGTAGTCCTCCTACACAGCAACTGCTCAGCTTCTCCAAGCCATGTTTTGTAATAGATGGAGATATTTAGCATCTTTTTTTTTAATTTAAATTGCTGATTCCGCTCACAGTGTTCTTTCTGCCGTCCTCTTAACTGTAGTTTCTCTTCTTCACACCTCCCCTGCAACCAGGTTTTATTCTCTAGTGCCCATGACTTTATTTATTTTCAATTATAGGGACCAACCGGTGAGACTGGACCAATGGGAGATCGTGGTCATCCTGGACCCCCAGGCCCACCTGGTGAGCAGGGTCTACCTGGAGCTGCAGGAAAAGAAGGAGCTAAGGTGAATCCTGAAGCTCCATTTAATATCCAGTTTGTTTTATGGTGTCAGGATAATAAATATGTACCTGTGATTACATTTGTTTCCATACCGTCCACAGTGGGTGCTTCATGTGACAATTTAACATATAATTTGGAACATACAACCATGGAGTCCAAAACATTAATTGTTGTGCTTTGACCTACAGGGTGACCCTGGCCCTATTGGCTCACCGGGTAAGGATGGCCCTCCTGGGCCAAGAGGCTTCCCTGGAGATAGAGGTCTTCCCGGCCCTGTGGTTTGTATTTCCTTCTACTCTGTACTATAGCTCCTCACAAATTCACCTCCTATAAAACTTTGATTATTGCATAATACAGTAGTTCTGGGGTATTAAATCACTGTAAAACTGTGGTAAACTTCAAGAATCAGACATGATATTAAATCCCTGAGTGGGCTTCAGAAGAGGAGCAGGTTGTTGATTATTTTTTTTTTTTACTTTTAATCTTAATTTTCACTTGACAAAGTCGTGTCTTGATAGTTATGCAATGCACTCCTGTGGTCTGACTCCAGACCTGTTGGCAGAAACAGCTTGTTGTTTAGCTGCAGGATGGAGAAATTATGTGATGCAGCACACCTGCTCCTTTGTAATGTTGTGGATGTCTTGGTAAATAACTGTTCTCCCTGTCTGTTCTCAGTCCCCTCCTCTGGGGACTAGGGGAGGTTTTTTATCTCATGCTGAGCCTGTTTGAAGTCTGGGAGCCCACTGTAAGGCAGGGTGTGTTCTCCCCCAACAGATGTGTTTGTTTTCTGAAGCCTTCATTTTATTTTGTTCTGCAGGGTGCTCATGGCCTGAAAGGGAATGAGGGTCCTCACGGCCCACCTGGCCCTGCTGTGAGTGCAATTTACGATATCCACAGTTTGTCACTATCATTCTCTCACCTTCCATATTTTGTCTCCATCTCTGGGAATTGTCTTTGTAGTAATGTTCCAACCTTCAGGTGTATAGGCACAGTTTGCTACTGTGCCTGATATAGTTTCAGTGTCGATATTTTCACTCGGTCATTTGGATAAATAATACTGCTGTGCTGTGGTGCTCTAGGGTTCTCCTGGTGAGCGAGGTCCTGCCGGCCAAGCTGGACCTACAGGTCTTCCTGGACGTCCTGGCCCACAGGGACCTCCAGGCCCTGCTGGAGAGAAGGGTGGACCGGTAAGAACATCAAATTATAGAGATTACTCAGACATGCAGAAAAGAAGAACATTCACAGATTTAACTGACAACTTGGTGTTGTAAAATGAAAAAAAAAAAAAAAAAAAAATAGGGAGAAAAAGGACCTCAAGGCCCAGCTGGAAGAGATGGCATTCAGGGACCAGTGGGTCTGCCAGGACCTGGAGGACCTCCTGGACCACCTGGAGAGGACGGAGACAAGGTGAGTTAACTGTTTGTGGTTTGTTTTCCTGTCCAAGTAAAGAGAAAATTAATGAAAGTCAGTCAAATTCCATTAAAGTGTTTCATTTTTTAGCACTCCGCGACACACACACACACACACACACACACACACACACACACACACACACACACACCACCTGACACACACTAAACTTACAGTGACAAACACTAAACTTACAGGTGAGCTCGAAGCCAGACATCCTTTTGTCTCGTTCCCTGTGAGCTTAAACAGTCTAAGGGGAATTTGTCTGGCAAAGTTTGCATTGATTAACGGATCTTTAAAAGGCTAACCTTCCATGTTGGCAATTTGTACCCTTCTGCACAAACAGACAGAGAAGAGGGAGGGATTTTATGGCAGTGACAGAATGTGTGAAAGTGACCCTTTAGTATTCAGAAGTAAGAACAACTCAAAGCATTTGCAGGAAGATCAGCTATGGAGATACTCAGAGGATAATCTTTTATCCTTTGAAGAATGTCTCAGTTCTTAACTGGACTTACATTGGTCCCTGCAGTGTAGACAGACAGAGAATACAGAGGGTATTTGCCATGCAGATAAAAAAGATCTCACAAGCTAATGTTTACACACATTCAGTCACTTTCTCATTATAAGTCCTGTCCATGGAGTACTGATGACGCCGAGGCTTTTATTTAAGAGACTAATGCTGCTTCACAAAGAGCATTGTATGACTCAAAGCCAAAAGTAAATGCGTCTGGCTTTGGTACTTATTAGCATTATTTCTCCAAACACCCACAGCATGTGGAGGCTTTGAAAGAATGGTGCAGGGCTCTTCATTCTGGGAATTCTGGCACAAACTATTTATCTATTCTACTTTGGCTGCAAGTAGCACCAGTGACTCAACTGTCTTGATAAGCCCCCTTCAGATGTGAACTATATATGTCAGAAAGGGAGTGATGTCATTCATTTCTAAAAAAAAAAAAAAGAAAAAGAAAAATATCTTTTCAAAGGCAGAATATAGACCGAGCTTGGATTTTATTGCACTTTGATATGCCATCTTGTGTTCAGTCTCATTTGTGTGTTATGTTAAAATGAGGGGTTTATGTGTCTCGATTTCTCACTATGATTATTTCATTCCTCAGGGAGAGATCGGAGAGCCAGGCCAAAAAGGAAGCAAGGGTGACAAAGGAGAACATGTAAGTTGTAAATTTACAAGTCATTATTTATTTATAATGTTATGTCCTGGGATGGTGAGGCTACTCCAGTTTCCTTGTGAATACATGGGTTTTGAATAGTGAAGAATAAAATTGTTGGCTGGTGTTCTGATGTGCCCCTTTTCCTCTGCAGGGTCCACCTGGTCCTACTGGCCCTCAGGGGCCTGTTGGAGCGCCTGGTCCTGCTGTAAGTGTTCAGCTTAGGTTATGTGTTCAGATCATTAAGGGTCAAGAGTGCCAACATTTGTTTCTGGTGGTTGTGAGCACGTCTATCTGTCACATTGTGCAGGGTGCAGATGGTGAGCCCGGTCCCAGAGGTCAGCAGGGTCTGTTTGGCCAGAAGGGAGATGAAGGAGCAAGAGGATTCCCTGGTCCTCCAGGCCCAGTTGGGCTGCAGGTGCGGACTACACTAATGAAATAAAATCAAACTGTGGTCAAATGTTAGCATTAAGAAACACAGAAAATATGTTTAAACCCTCTGCACACCCCTTACAGGGCTTGCCTGGTCCACCTGGTGAGAAAGGTGAAACTGGGGACGTTGGTCAAATGGTAAGAGCTTAATGGAGAATTAATACAAGTTTATGAACAGTCCAGGTGTGTGTTATTAGGTAATACACTGTATTACAAACAGTATGCAGATAAAATGTGTTTCTTAATCAGACTCTCTCTTCCCTTCTCCCTAGGGTCCACCCGGCCCCCCTGGTCCAAGAGGTCCCTCAGGACCCCCAGGAGCCGATGGCCCTCAGGGACCTCCGGGTGGCATTGGAAACCCTGGCGCTGTTGGAGAAAAAGTAAGCCTCTGTTGTATTTCACGTGTAGTCACTTCTCTCTGGTACCTTTTTCGCTCTGAAGAAGTCTGCTTGAACAGATGTGTGTGGAGTGGTGCAGCTGTTTCTGTATGTAAACACAACAGGTAGCACAGTGCCATTTTAATCACCCTGTTAGGCTCAATATTACACCTCTTTTAAATAACACCTGCACCTCTTGAGTTGGCCTAAGTGTAAACACAGACCTCTCCAAAGTCAGGTTTGCTCCTTTCAGTTTATGTTTCGTGTCTCTTTTTATTTGCTAATAATTGTGTCTGCCTTGTAGGCAATGAACTAAATCCACAAATGTAATCACTTTGGATAAAATGTAAACACAGCAAAAACAAAAACACATTTTGTTGGGTTAGGGGATACCAAAACAGTTTTATGCACACAATTACACCCAGAAATGATGATGTCATTGTCTTGTGTGACATTTTAACTGAAAAGTTCCATTTACCAACCATCTGAACACTATATTGTGTCTGCTGTATAATTACATTTGCGATGCTGTGTATTGGTGTTTTGTGACTCTACACCTTCCAGTGAAGAACAGTTAAGCCGAGCAGGACCGAAACTGTCTGTGGCTTTCAAAGTGGGTGACAGGAGCCTTTTATCCCAAGTGGCACCTCTGGAACAATTGAATATAATGTATCTCTAGATATGGATTTTTAAAGTAAAGATTGTGTTAATGCAATTTCCAAATTCCAGAAAAACACAAGTCCAGGTGGACTGTTGGCAACTGACATGTTTTCACTGTAACCTACCTGTAAGACAGGTGTGACCTGGCTCTGTAACACTTTGGAGGAGGCAGAGTTAGTGTGCTAGCCATTTGAGTGCTCTGCGGTAAAGACTGATTGCTGCCTCTTTATAAAATTTATGCAGCCATTAATATTACACATGCCTGTTTATGTGATACCCTATTAAAAGGGACATGATCATCTGCAGAGTGACAGATGCACAGCAAATCAAGTGGACAGGCTGCCATCTCGAACAGTATTGTTGCTGGGTGGAGACAGTATGAATACTCAACAGCACCACACTTGCGATTCTAAGAAGATAAATGCATTATTAAAGGCAGCTCTCATAAAAAGAACTTCCATTATTATTTGTTGCTGCTGTTTCATTATGAAAGACCTGCTTTTGTAGCCACTGGACAGCAGTGCTGTGCACTTTCTGTTTGTAGTGGTGGCATGACTTGTTTTACCTGGTTCAGTCAATACAGTCACCTTTTGCTCCTTTATGGTCTCCCTGAGGATGGCTTGTCCTTCTCTAGTGCAAACAAGCTGCACTCTTTTGGCTAATCATGCTTTAGCTGAGCTGGCACTTTATTAGCCTGCCCAAGGAGCTGGCAAGCAACTTGGCTCAGGCTTTTTCTGTGAATATGTCCCTCATGTAACAGTGATGAGCAGCTGTCTTTCATGCTCTTGAGTTCCATGTCCTCAGCAGATTTTACAAGCAGCCCATTGGTAGACATGAGCAGGTTGTTGTAAGGATGGAGTTGAGACCTGTGCAGAGCTTCTCAGAGCTGCAATGTTGCATGAAGAGCAGTGTACACTCCTAATACAGGAGGATCAGTTGTACCAACTGCTCCGAGTGGATTTCTTGACAACAACAAGCAAGGTTTTGGAAGACAGCCAGATACTCTTTAATTTAGAGTGCTGGTTGACATTCACAATACAGAGCTGTTCATGCTAGAGAAAATCTGGATATACTTATCATAACACATCGCCACATAGCTTGTCACTGGCTCTGCAGAGCTGTGCTATCAACTTATCACCCAGATATGACATGGGCAAATATTCCGCTGAAATGGGTGTGGCAGAGTGCATATGCAGTAAATGACAGCAAGGAGGACTGTAGGCTTATGTGACAGTGAATAATGATAGTGCCCAGTGTGTGGTGAGTCAACAGGGCAGCTATCCAATAAGGCAGGAGGAAGAGGACAAGATATATGGGCAGGGTCCAGGGACAATAGAGAGGTCAGCGCCCCCTTGCCCCAGCCACCCAATCTGCCTGCACTTGATGGATTGAAACCTTTTGTGTCATTTCTTTCTATCCCCATTTGTGTGACAAGGACACAGGGACAGTGACAGATTCTGTGAATGATGAGATTTTTAGACCCATGTTGGATCAATGAATCACCTTTCTGATAATGTATGTGTCTGTCTCACCCTAATATCCCTTTCCCCCACTCCCTCTCTTCCGTATCAGGGCGATGCTGGTGAAACAGGAGAGCCAGGTCTTCAGGGAGAAGTTGGCCCACCAGTAAGTTATCCAGCTTTCCTTCCTCCAGTTTTACGTGATAAGAACAACAACAACAACAACAACAAAAAAAAAACAATTTAACTGCCAGACAAAATGAATCACTGTTGGTCAATCTACAATGATAAGGATAATAAGGTTGTTGTGTTATTTCTTTTAAGTGTCACTTGCCATTCACTTTTCTTTCTACCAGTATTTCTGAAATAGAATTGCTAATGTAGTTCATATTATTTATTCCAGGGTCCAAGAGGAGAGCGAGGTGAGAAGGGAGAGGCCGGTCCAGCTGGTGCAGCTGGACCTCCTGGCCCTAAGGGTCCCCCTGGAGATGATGGTCCCAAAGGCAGCCCAGTAAGTTCTACTTCACCTTCAGCTTAAGAAAAGACATTTCATATGACAAATCAATAAACTCTAGGCACTTTACCTGATGCAACTGACCTGAAACTATGTCTAAAAAACATGTAATGCAACTTTTATTGATTTCAGGGTCCAAGCGGTTTCCCTGGTGACCCTGGTCCCCCTGGAGAGCCTGGTCCTGCTGTATGTATGGCGAATCAACTCCATAAAATCTGTTGTTTATTTGTTTGTTTTTGATGCAGTGCTGCATGACTGATGTTCTGTTCAATTCTTTTGCAGGGGTTAGATGGTCCACCTGGTGACAAGGGAGATGATGGAGAGTCTGGTCAGGCTGTGAGTGCTGTGTATCAACTATGTCACTTTTTGACAGCGCTGCATGTCATTACTGAAAAATTTGATTGTCATTTAAATTGCAAATCAGTAAATTTTTTTGTTATCCTTTTGAAATAAAAAACTAGGGTTCACCTGGACCCACTGGAGAGTCTGGCCCCCCTGGACCACCAGGAAAGAGAGTAAGTACTATCCTGTGCTCTGTCTTCCTTGTCCTTGCAAAATGTTTTCAATGTCAGAATGCTAAAATGTTCTCCCTCTTCCACAGTATTAATCTCTGTCATCTATTTTTAAATAGGGCCCCCCTGGAGCAGCAGGACCTGAGGGAAGGCAAGGAGAAAAGGGAGCCAAGGTAATGTATCCAACAGATTTTACAAACTTTGTCTTTTTTCGGATAGTACAAAACCAAAACATAAACAAAAAAAGTAAAAATCAAATGCATTGTATGTATCCTGTTTCTGTGTACAGGGAGAGCCTGGTTTGGAAGGCCCCCAAGGAAAGACCGGCCCTGTTGGCCCTCAAGGATCACCTGGCAAGCCTGGTTCTGAAGGCCTCAGGGGTATCCCTGGCCCAGTTGTAAGCAGAGTGTTACCTTCATCCCAATTCATTATAGTCATGTTAAAGTTGTGTAGTATTGTTAAATTATCATGTAAACCACTGTATACTGTAGGACTGGATAAGTCTGACTTCTTCCTACTCCATTCAAACATGTGCGGGTATAAGCAAACTGATTCTTGATTAGCAGTGGTTGGCTTGTGTAATTATGGCTTGTGTAATTATAATTATGTGTGTGTTGATGTCATTGTTCTGCATGTTTGAAAGAATAAATCAAATCAAATCAAATCAAAATCAATACTGTATATATAGTATCTACTAAACAAAACAGCACAACATAACGGGGCTGGGCTATTAATAGAAGCCAGTGTTTTCCAGGAGATAAAAGCACTCTCTATTTTGTATTTTTGTGCAGGGAGAGCAAGGTCTACCTGGTTCTCCGGGCCCAGATGGCCCTCCTGGACCCATGGTGAGTAGAAGTGACTCCTGGCCTTTGAATCCATGATTCTTACATAGTAAGTGTGGCTGATTCAATCTGCTTTCTAATGTGATATCCCTCCTTCAGGGCCCTCCTGGTTTGCCTGGCTTGAAAGGAGACTCTGGTGTCAAAGGAGAAAAGGTGAGCCACTCTATCATCTGCTCAACTCATCTGAATGTTTTGATGTAAATTATAAGTTACAGTAAATACTGCAACAAAGACTAATGGGCCTACTTACTAACAAATTGATTAGATTTGTTGTTTGCCTCCAGCCATGAAATTATTACCCTGGTGAGCAGAGGGTGTGCCAGACAGATATATCATTGGACTAATTTTTGTGACTGTGTGTTATTGACCGTTGTATTGATAATATGTGTGTGTGTTGTTTGTTCTCTGCCTTCAGGGCCATCCGGGTCTTATTGGTCTTATTGGACCCCCAGGTGAACAGGGAGAAAAGGGGGACAGAGGTCTTCCTGGTCCTCCGGGATCCTCTGGTCCCAAAGGAGACAATGTAAGTAAATAAAACCACACTTGAGGCATGAAAGAAGTCTGTTTTTGTATACAAAAACAGACTGTGCATGTTGCAGAAGAGCAGTGCTATTTGTGCCAATAATCAGCCCACTGAAAGTTAATGATAGTCTTCTTTATATTTCTGAACCTTTCCTAATTTAAGAATAGCAAATGTTAATGTTCCACGTGCTAGTCAATACCGTTGCATCAGGAACTAACAGTGCTTCTTCTGTGGTCACATAACATGGTTTCTTGTTTTCCTTTAGGGTATTGCTGGTCCCCCAGGTCCAATTGGTCCCCTCGGTCCTCCAGGATTACCTGTAAGACTATGCCCATCATATGCGCTGTACAATAGAATGTGTGAAACCCAATAGCACGCACTGTCTGAGTCTAGGCTAAATCCTTGGTCATCTTTACTTTCTCATCTTTAGGGTCCTCCTGGTCCAAAAGGAGCTAAAGGGTCATCGGTAAGTGTGTTACTGAAAGCTGAAAGTTGTCAGAAACAATAACAAGAATTCTGTCAGTTAATAATCAAGTATGATTCAAGCATGATTCATGCTTCTCAGGGTCAAACTGGACCAAAGGGAGAGACCGGTACACCTGGACTTCCTGGCCCCCCTGTAAGTTAACTCACTAGTCTTTGAGTTGTATCATACTTTTGTATGGTTTTTTTAGTGAAACTCATTGTCCCCTTGGGTTTACAGGCCTGTACATGATCTCCATCCTTATCTCTAACTGGTATTTGTCTATTTTTATTTCATTTCTTCATAACAGGGCCCACCTGGTGATGTTATTCACCCACTCCCAATTCAGGCTCCCATCAAGGGTAGAGCACGTAGGAACATTGATGCTAGCCAGATGGTGGATGATGCACCTGTGGATGCCAACTACAAGGACTACGATGATGGCATGGAGGAAATCTTTGGCTCACTCAACTCCCTTAAGCTGGAGATTGAGCAGATGAAGCACCCACTGGGCACACAGACCAATCCTGCTCGTACCTGCAAGGACCTGCAGCTCTGCCACCCTGATTTCCCTGATGGTTTGTATCACATTACACCTGGAATGAGGCATGAGCTGTATTTTCTAATCAGACTTTTTAATTTCTGCACTAAAATGGTGTTTATCACCTAGTAGCCTCACTTAAGAGCTGCAACCCCTGTAGCACAGGGCCAAGTTGGGTAAATAGGCATGGGTCGGAGAGACTGACCCTCTGTGCTGTGTCCTGTTCAGTATGCAGCATATCAAGTTTGTTAATGCTCATAAACAAACTACAAAAACAAAATCACCTAAACCTTAATCAGTGGGTGGAAAGCTAATCTGCAATTACTTTGATACTCTATTAATTATTTAAGTCGTCTTTCAAACAAATGTTCCCAGTTCCAGTTCGTCATCTCGGAGGATTTCCTGCATAACTTCGACTTATGTGATAATAATATCTTTTAATGTGGTAATAGGAAAAAAACAAATCATTTTAATGACATCTCCTTGGACTTAAGATAATCTTATTTGACAATTTGTATGACAAATGATTCATTGTTTTATTGAGAAAATAACTGTCAAAGGCACTGATAATATTTAAGTTCAACCCTAGAATGAACCATCTATCATTACACATGACCTTTGGGATAGTTCAGCTGCTAATCCATCACAGCTACATAACACTTGCTTACATATAGACTAATTAATACAGTATTTTGTATTTCTGTACTGTATGTTCTACCTCTGGACATTAACAAACTGTATAAATCACTGTTCAAAGACGGGCATTTGATAAATTTGTGTGTATTACTTTTAATGCTGAATTTACTGGAAAACACCAACAATGAATGTGTTGTATATTGTGTTTCACATGATATGTAGTTTGATTACCTTTTCCCTGTGCACCTCTAAATATCATATAGGCATAACACAGAGAAGTGCATGATACTCAAGTACATGCCATATAACACTGGACCTCACCTTGACCGGAAGGAGAACAGTACTGTCTGATATGCCACTCTATAACTGCACTCTCTCTGCCTGTCTCCATCCCTCCAGGTGAATACTGGATTGATCCAAACCAAGGCTGCTCGCGGGACTCCTTCAAGGTTTACTGCAACTTCACAGCAGGTGGAGAGAGCTGCATCTTCCCAGATAAGAAGTCTGAAGGGGTAAGTCTGGCCTGGTGTAGACAAACACTTGCATCAGCACAACAGACAGTCAGGTTGAGGATACAGTAAATGGAAAGGTGGGGACTGGTGCTAGAAAAACATTTTTACTATTTGTGGTTTCCAGTTTGTGATTTGATATGAGCCTAATACTGAATTATCATCTATTTCCTTATATCTGGGACTAACTACTGTGCATACTGTATAAATAAGCGAAACATCTCAAGACAAAACTATTTGCACCAGTAACTCATTTGTACCTCCTAATGCACCCATATAATTAGCCTCCATGAGATTACCTGGTGTGTTGTTATGAAGAAGATGCTCATTATGACTCACCAGGACTCTCTTCATTTCCCGAAAGGGCCCAAGCAATTTTACAAACATGCTAAATCTCAGTTTAGTTCTGACAGTGACTTGCTCATTCAAACACACATGTTCACGTTTGTCCATACCCTGTTGTTTCATTTCCATTTTTAGGTAGAAAACCATTAAGGACTTTATCACCTGTAAAAGTCTTTGGCAGGCGACAGGCACACTGAGAAGATTTTTGGTTCATTATACAAGAGTGTATATGGGAGAGGAGAATAGAAGAGCAGTGAAACACTGAGAACACTGTCTCTGACAAGTCGGAGGTTGTGTAATAGCACAGTGCTACAGCCATTTTAATGATCCCACTCACCAAGCCTCAGAGGAGCAGGAGTTTGTTTAAGCTCAGAATAATGAAGCAGACTTTTTATAGCGTGCTGGTGATGGGCTACTCTCATTTGTGTCAGGGGTGAAAAGAAAAGCTTTGCTGCCAGTCTTTGCACTGAGGCTGAAAACACTCCCACATGCATTTACATTGGTACAGTTATTATACAAGCATTGTGCACATACTATACAAATTCACAGCAAGAAAGGATATCTCCTCCTCTGCTCAGTCCACTCTGGTGAAAACAACTGAAGGTCACCTTCATGGCAGCGTGAGTCCAATCTATGCCATCTCCTAGGGATAAGTGATCTCCGGCCCATCATTCATTAATGCATTAAACTACTGATGGCAGTTCCATATCAAACTATGCTATCTAATTACTGAGAAATTCATCATTGTCATGCGTGAGACCAGTGGAGCTGTGCCCCAGTGGCCAATTCACAGCTTGTAGCAGCATGACAAAGTTAGTGCACCATGGCTGCACAATACTCGCACTGAACAGCAGGGGTGGAGGCCAAGGTAAAAGCCCTCCTTGCAGGTGATCATTTTTTTAATTTAATCACTGTGTAGTCATGAATTTTTTTTTTGCAGAAATTAGCTACAGTTTGTACTGTACAAAATGGCTTAGTAAAATCTTCTGCCCTGGTCTGGTTGAACTGATTGAATACTGTTTCAGGTCTGGGAGACTACTGAGAAGACAACAGCGGGAGGAAAAAAGGGAGAAATAAAAAGCTGAGAGGGGATGTTTTTCTGTCAGATCTGTTTCTTTTCTTTAACACTGCTCTCTTTTCCTCCTCCTACTCTGCCTCTCTGTTGATCCATGCCCCCAGGCTAGGCTCACATCTTGGGTAAAGGAGAATCCCGGCTCCTGGTTCAGTGAATTCAAACGTGGTAAACTGGTAAGCCAGACTCCCGACTTTCCCAAGTCCCTTTCCCTTCCCTGAATGCCTCTTATATTTTACAGAGCAAAATGGCAAAATGGCCCAAAGACTCGCCAGGCACATGGTATAGTCACTACAAGAGAGGTTCCCTGGTAAGTGGCCCTGCCTGTGGTCCTCAGAGTCCTGGCTGAGGCCTGGACTCCATGTGCCTGAGGCTCTGCATGGTTCTGATTCTGCCCTAAAAAGTATGTATATGCATTGTCACCTTGCTTGTTGGTTGTCATGTTATTGCGGCGCATGTTATAGCACGAGCTGCTCTCACCTTCAGTCCAGAAACAAAGGTGATGCTCTTACAAGGAAATGGAGGAGAGGTTTGTGGGCCATGCAGGCAAGATTTATCTGTGCTTTAGCCACATATCTGACATCAAATGAACTGCTATTTTACTGCAGACTGTATTGTCCGCTCTGCCAAACCTCTGCTACATTAAGAGAGCATTTCTAAGCGTGACTGTGTGCCTTGACACTCCCATGACTCAAGAATCATCTTTATATCCACAGACAGCTGAGTCAATTGTGTGGACCAAAACACCTAGGGGTGACTACATCAATTTGCACTTGTCTTTCTTGCAAATTAGATATTTAAATTGTAGCTCTCAACAAGCCCCTACCTCAGCAGGTCATTTATCCTCCACAAGAGAGGAAACATTAAGAGTCATTCTATCTCTACTGTGGCCATTCAGCTGCACTTCCCAGTGTCACCCTTAAACACTACTTAGATCCAGTAGAGGAGCTTTGAGTCAAGCAGGTCTGGCACTCAGTCACTGCCCAGGGGCTTCTGGGTACTTGGTCACTCTTGACTTGCAGCTGTGATGATAAAGAGGTAATGTTTCTCTGGTGATGTGGGGCTGGATCCACACGCTGTGCAGGGAATGGGGGAGGGAGGGAGGGGATGAAGAGTGGCACAGTAAATGAGAAAAGCATGGGACTACACAGCCACTCTGAGTAAGAAAGCAGAACAGTGGTACATTTTCATCTGAGCCACAGTGCTGACACTCATAAATTACAGAGCCAACTCTGAATTGTTTACATATTGTGATTAATTAGTTAGTTAAATCAGTCAAATAGCCTACATTGCTGGTGAAATAGATGGAAAAAATGATTAACTCTCTGTCAATGCCAAGTGTGAGTGTCAGCACTCTAGGTCTGTGCATGCATGTGTGCTGAAGTGTATCTGTGTGAGTGTGTGAACATTTGCTTATGTGCAAGAACAAGTCAAGAAAGAACACATCCAGACTCAGATGGTTTGCTGCTCTGGCTGCATGGCATTGGTGCTGCATGTGCTGTGCTCTCAGTAAGTCCCATTTGTCTGCAAGACGACGCGACCATGTGGATCTAATGGATTCCTGATGGTTGGTATGCAGAGAGTCACTTACGGACATTAACCTGAACCGTGAGTGGCTCAAAACCTGCTGTGTTGTCAGTCAGGATTACAAAGGACCATAATCAGCTTAATGAGACGTTGCTCAGGATTCAGTAACGTGAGCTTGAAAAGCTAAATTCTGGTTTAATTATAGGTTAATTACTAGGCAATTAACATGTGATTTGTGTAACATATTTCCTATCAGGATTACTTCACATTTTCATCATTTAACCATAATTTGTTCGTATTGGTTGTGTATTTTACGTAATTAGTGTACATAAGTATGATTTAAATAAGATGTTTAGCCATGCTTCATTTTTGTACAGATTTCTTTACAGTTAGTCTTGCACATCCTTCCAGACAATATTTTGAACCTTCCTCCTTCTCAATATAGTAACATCACCTGAGCCATTTGCTTAGGAAATGTGGACTGTGGTCTCTGGAGACATTTACACATATTTGCACAATTCTCGAAAGGCTCTTAATATTCAGTATTTTATATTGTCAACAAATCCCTATGAAAAGACCAAAAGAAACTAGACAGAGAGCGCAAACCTTTGCCAAGGCAGATCGCTTGCTCCCATCATGCCATTACACCTAAAAACAATATTCTCATGATAGTTTGACCATGAAAACCTACCCCTAGCATTTGGAATCACATTGATATCATTATTAGCTCAGTATCTTCTGAAGCTTTATCAAATCTGTTGATACCCTACTCTGACTGGCTGAACACACCTGAGCCAGGTAATCAGCAGCAGGTCAGGCAGGGATAGTTGGAAGAGCAGGACAGCGGCCCTTGAGGATTGGAATTGGCCACCCCTGCCCTACAGAGTCAGCAGCATCTCTGCTAGAATTTGATCTTAGTTGTGAGTTTGTAGCATAGTTTGGAGTCTCACAGTAGCGAGTTTTTCATGAGCCCTAAAAATGAGAACAGTCTGGATCACCAGATCTGGAGTACTACTTGGATCCAGATCAGACTTTGGTGTGTGGTAGGGCTTATGTGGATGTTACCGAGAACTCTCTGTACAAGCATTGTAGGCAACATACTGTATATGGAGTTAGAAGTAAAAATATTGAAGTTAGCCCTATCTCACAAGGGTGAAGAATCCTTTAAGAAATTCCTGGATCCAGATAACAATCTGGATCAGCACTGAAATCTAAGTGGATTTGTCTGTGGGCCATACCCTAACTCTCCCAAAAATTTCATCCAAATCCATTCATTACTTTGTCTCCAGATCAGACTTTGGTGTGTGGTAGGGCTTATGTGGATGTTACCGAGAACTCTCTGTACAAGCATTGTAGGCAACATACTGTATATGGAGTTAGAAGTAAAAATATTGAAGTTAGCCCTATCTCACAAGGGTGAAGAATCCTTTAAGAAATTCCTGGATCCAGATAACAATCTGGATCAGCACTGAAATCTAAGTGGATTTGTCTGTGGGCCATACCCTAACTCTCCCAAAAATTTCATCCAAATCCATTCATTACTTTGTCAGTTATGCTCTGAACAAACCAACCAACAAACAAACTCTGGCAAAACATTACCTCCACCTACTAACAAGTATTGTCTGTGTATCCAAACACTTATACAAACCTCTATTCTTGTCCAATTGTTAAAAATATATCCGTGAGCCACACTGATGCACAGGCCAACATGTTCGGTCATTACAATGAACATGGCCATTATACAATAGTTCATTTTGAGTCTGTACCACATACTACATCTTTCTGGCACTGTAAAAGTTTAATTGTGCACTAACTCTATATTAATGCGGCACTGACAACAGACCCCAACAAATGCACTTTTTGAGTAAAATTTGCTAGAAATTCCAGTGCCCAGCTGTTTTAGGTTATTACTGAGATTTTTTTTAAATGACAACTACATAAGGGTGCCACAAACAGAATACAGTAGGTAAGCCAGAGGGTTTTCAGAGATATTGCTGGCTTTGGTCTTTTCATTGGGTATTTTGACAATAAGAAACATAGAATGTTCTTTTTTTATGATCAGGTTAATCTGGCAGATTATTCTAAATTGTGTTTGTTTTTGTCTGTGCCACCACAGAAAATGGTAGTTTATCAACTCTGTGTCCTTGGATGATACCTCCCTCTTCTAACATTGTCAATAACAAACATGTCCTAGACATCCCAATACAGCAGTAAAGCAGGAAAACAATTTACTAGTCATAAATGAAATCGTGCCACCGTAGAGACAGAAACACTGCGCACTATAGACATAAGTGTGTTCTGAGATCTTCAGTTCACTCATTCTTTACACTGGGTCCATTTCCTGGTGTTATGTTTTTGATGCTCAGCTCCATTTGTGTTCCTATTTTCTGCAGCTCTCCTACGTGGATGCGGAGGGCAACCCCATCGGTGTGGTCCAGATGACTTTCTTGCGGCTGCTGAGCGCAGCAGCCAGACAGAACATGACATACAACTGTCACCAGTCGGTGGCCTGGCACGACCAAGAGCAGGACAACTACGACAAGGCCATCCGCTTCCTGGGCTCCAATGATGAGGAGATGTCTTATGATAACAATCCCTACATCCGCGCCATCGTCGATGGCTGTGCGGTAAGTCAAAGATATGTGTGCCTCTGTGGCAGATTGGTGGGGTTCCTTTGATAAACAATGTCAGAAAATTAGCTTTCTGATGTCTTTGTAGTGGCTCAGTCAAACAGAGCCCTGCAAAAATGTGTGATGTTTTGATTTCTGATGATTTCATCACAGACTAACACTCCCTCCTGCTTTGTCTTTTCATCTTGACAGTTAAAAAAGGGCTATGAAAAGACAGTACTAGAGATCAACACACCAAAGGTGGAACAGGTGCCATTTGTGGACATCATGTTCAACGATTTTGGCAGTTCTACACAGAAGTTTGGATTTGAAGTGGGCCCTGTCTGTTTCCTCGGCTAAGACTGTTTACTGAGCAAATGGAGAAAAAAAAGCATATTTTTGTTTTCTCAGAAAAATATGAGACAGAATAGGACAATTTTATTTGTAAAAAAAGTAACTTTTTCCATAAAGCAACAAGTATGAGTAAAATTAAATCAAGTTGAAAATACAGTGAAATTTTATAAGAATAGAGGAAAAATAACCTTGAAACCTCAGTGTGCCTTCTCCATCACATGCAAGTTTTGAAACTGGATGTCAGGTCCTGCCTCCTGCACAACACACCTAGCTCTCACATGCACACACACACACACACACACAAATGAAGCCCCATGTCATCACAGTAGATTTACATGTTTTTTTGTCCCAAACAACAAAGGCGACCCTGAGAGCTGCGGCCGGGTTCCAGATGGTCGCAGTATTTGCCACGGACTCCATGTGATTTTGGTCTTTTCTTTTCTTCAGCTCTGCTCTCTTGTTTGCCCTCATCTCCCTGGCTTTTTCCACTTGTCTCTTGTTGGTTTGTTTGCTCATTCATTACAGGAAATATATATAAATAATTTTTATGTTTGTAAGTGCATTCTGTATATTTTTCCTGGTGATGTTAATTGCCTCTGGCTTCAAAACATGCATGTGACTTTATTAATTGTGAGGTAGGAGATGACGGATACAGGGATAACATCTAAATTGTAGAAATATATTGAAGGTGAGGAAATTCAAAATGTAAATCGAAAACAAAAAACTAATTGGGAAGTTGTGTCTTGTTGCAGTTGTGGAGCAAAACTTGTTGTAATTTAAGAACAAAGTGGAAATAAAAAGCCAGCAAGCTTTGTGACAGTTGATTTGCATAACAGAGAAAACATACTACGTCCCTCCTTTTGTGCCCTCTGAACAGAACACCTACTTGGTGCTAATATCATTAACTTAATAAACAGCTTCTATGTTTTTCCCCAGAAATCCTCATCTGACTGACTATGCAGTGGGAGATGATGTCACATTTTTATGAAAACACAAAGAAATCAAAAACCTAGGTGCTATTTTCTCTCTGCTGTGGTGCTATGTATTTTTCTAGTTTGTGTTGTTTGAATGAAAGGAAATTTTGGTGATAATATTCCATCACCAGCAGCCCCTTGACTCTCTAAACCATCCCATCTGATACAGGTGGATCTTTGCTGCATCCATTTTTTTCAGAGGTGTTGTTTGCATGTCATTTCTCTACATATCAACTCACAGATCGGTGCAGCATGACGCCATATGTTGTCTCCTGCTTCAGCGGACTGCACAAATAAGAACTGTGTCAGACACTTGTACCAAATGTTGGAATAATGAGAGGAAGCTAAGATGGCACTGTTAGCTTTGCATATCATTGTTCTGAGATGCTGCATTGTTGCTGTTGGATCATCTGTGCCACGTCAAACGGTGGAGTTGAGAAGCGGACTTGTTGCGACTGGGCCGAAGAAATATGGTCCAAAGTTTTCATTGAGCTATGAAACCATTAACCTTTCCACCAAAGGTTTTCAGCATATAGATTTAGCTTTAATCATCACGGTGGCTGGAAGTCAATTGTTTTTGTTTGGGAAACAACTAGAAAAGTACTTTTTCTTGATTAATCCACAGCAGAATCAGGTCACCAAATTTTCCAGATGAAAGTTTGCTCATGCAGTGTCAAAAATAGCTTTTGGCCTACTATGTTTGCCCTCCTTGTAATTATGCTTTTTGTTCAAACTATGCACTCTCTATGCTTATGACCACTAGTATCTACCACAGAATTTTTACAGCCCTTCATACATAGGTTTGTTTTGTTTCCTATTTTATCTTTAAATATGTGACTTGAACCATTTCTGTTAAAATAACTCAATATGCTTGTAGATCTTTGGCTTTATTTTTCATTGTGATACACCCAAATTTTAACACTTTGCTCTCAATAAAAATGGCAAACCAATTTTTGTACATTTCCAGAACCAGCAGTAATGCTGCCATTGTTTTGTTTTCGTTTTATTTTGTAGATTTTCTGTTGTCTATCTGTTTGTTTGTTTTCACAGTCTTGTCAAACCTGTGTAAGGAAAAGAGGATAGAAGATATATTGGTTTTTATGTCAATAAATTCAAGTTTACTGTGGCCATTCACTCTTGTATGTCTTTTGAAGCATTAAAACCTATCTGTATGCATGAAATTGTAAAGTTTTTTCTCTTGTTATAATTGTGTAGAGTGGCATGATCTCCAGTCCACCTTTTATTCTTCAGGATACATCCGTTTCTTCCAATGCAACAGATGAACATAAAGGAAAGATCATGTCCATGATTGTGAAGTGGAGAGAAAATGATGAACTTGTAACTCTACCAAAGCCAATGTTTGTTTGTAGTATATTTATTGTATTATTTAAAATAAAAAAATAAATGTTAAATGATACCATAGTGTAAGTGTAAGAGCCCCCCTCTTTACATGCACACAGGAAAACAAAAGCTATTGCCAAAGGGTTATTACTTTGCCACATGCTATTTTACATAAAGTACACGATGGAAATGACTAATTTTAATGGACCCTTTCAGAATATGTTTGGCCATATCCATTTAACAGCCAGTCATGTATTTCTGTTTACAACCTGTGGGGTGTGTGTGTATGTGAGAATGCATGTGTAAGGGTTGCATTTTATTGCTAGCTGAATGATTGAATGTGTGTTTCAGCTCAATAAAAGGTAAAGATACAATTAATTGTTTTACAAAATATGTTTTAATAATGTCAAACAATTGTAGTTCCACAGATGTGCCTCAAGGACGAGGTTCACAGGTGGCATCTTGTGAAGGCATCCATGACCACACATTGTATGGACAGCCAGTGTATGTGCATCTGTCATTCTCTTCTTCACAGCATTCTGACAAGCATTTGTATAGCACCTTGCTAAACCACGGTTACAAAGTGCTTCACAGTAAAATAAAAGAAAAATAAAATAAGCCAGATCAACTCATCCATTGTATGTGTTTTATGCACGCTTTCTTTTGCATTATTCATAATAAATATGTCTTAACCCTTCCATGCAGCACATTTCAATAATCAGTAATCTGTTTTAAGCCTTGATCAAATCTCTGGTGGTGTAGATGAAGTGCAGCACAAGTGTCTCATTAGGAGAAAACCTTTCCCCGTGCACTGAGCCCAGCACAGCAAAGGAAGAAAAGGTTGTTGTGCATGATGCAGTGATCAATATTTAATGCGCTGTTTACAGGATAGATTTAGGACGATAGGGATGCATGGATTCTACTGAGCCAGCATCCTGGATGAGACGAGCAGAAACCAGAGCGAAACATTCTTTGGTGCTAAGTGGGGCATCGAAGTAGGCTGGGGATTATTTGTCTTACCCCCTTAAATTTCAGCAACAACAGCACCAAAGTGTGATAAGGTTGTAAACGATTTTAGAAGAGCAGATTCAAGGTGCGGTGATGTTTAGAATGTAAGACGTCACTGTGGGGCAAATCTGCTTGGAGCAAAGCTCTGCTCCTGTAAAGGAGCAAATCACCACATTTCAGTGTGACAGGTAAGACTGAACAGCTCGAAGGTAAATTTACAGGATTTTAAAAATTGGTATTAAGACTATATTGGCGTGTTCACATGTACGTGAGAATAGGTCTTAACCTGAAAGTTTCCACACAGAACCAGACTGAAAATGAGGGACAAATACACAGCCCTCTGTCCTGTGTAAACAGTTTACTCCAAAATACGACTGAGGCTTAAATGAAGCGTCTGCTGTACTACTAAGATAATTAGTATGTTTTAAAGTTACTAAGACAAAATCCCCTTGTTTCCCAGGATGGTAGTTTCCTGCCAACCTGGAGCGGAAGGATACGTTGTCGCGTGAAAGTTCCTTAAACAGGTGTTTGCTCGTCAACCTGTGGTGGGAGTTAAGCTGGAAGCGAGTTTGTAAATTTCATGGCTGGGTGATTTTGAAGTTTGTAGTTTTAGGACACCAGTAAAACCTGCTTCTGTGTCTGTATTATGTTTGTGCGTGTGACTTCTCAGAGTTGGTCCAGCTTTCTCTCCACTTTATTCCCTCGTCACCTGTGTCATGTGAAGTACAACATTTCTGTCTACGTTTGTCCAAGAAAAGGGCAAAACCGTTCCACAGATTTCACCTGAGGGATTCTGAGAGACCACATAAGAAATAAATACATAATTTGCAAAGCTGAGAGAGTTGGGTGTGGAGCCCATGTCCACAGTAGGACAGGCGCTGTGAGATGAGCTCTGCAGAACACGGCTGTGCCATCATCAGTGGAGCTAACAGCAGCTGAGGAGGGGTAAGTGCGAACAGATACTCAGCTTGTTATGTATCAGTCAATCAAACTAAGTTAGGTAGGCGTGTAATGGCCTAATGTTCCTAAAAAGGCCACAGTGATGACAGTCAGCAGTTCATCTACAGTGACTGACTGACAGCTTTATAAATGTTAGTGTATGCCAACATATCTCAGTCATATTATGAAAACCTACCAAGCATTTAACACAACACCTGTTCTGGTAACTGAATGCTGACGTGTGACTGCTTGGCTACTAGAAGGTATCCCTCCGCCGCCGCAGCTTTGGCAGAGAACTATCCAAAAGAGGGAAATTGGTCTTCAATAGACTGTAACTTGGAAAGATGACTAGCATAGTGGGTCAGCTGAAGCTGTATTAGAGCCTCAGACGAATATTGGAGTGCATTCTTACACAGAACGACCCAAATAAAATTATTATTGCTGTCATCACTGTTATAAGTTTTGTGGTGCAAAAGGTCACAGTAAGTCAAAGTACACTGCAGAGTGACTGACATTTTATTAAACAATGAATGGAGAATATGTCAGGGGACTTGGATCAACAAAAGTGGCAGGTGAAACTGATGGCTTTGGCTGTAACAGTAGAGTGAATGTAGTTTGAAACCTGGGTGCCATGGATCTATTGACATATACCGGTTCATTGAAGGACTAAAGGAGGTAGTGTGTAGCATTACTGCAGGCTGTTTCTGAGACAGTGCAGAAAAATAGGCACTAATCAAGATCCAAATAAATGTTAATGTCTTCCTGGGTGTTATTACAGCAGCAAACTGCTCCTTGCTGCTGTTAGGCTCTTATTTAACAACTGGTCTTGTGTTTTCCATTCTGTGATTGCTTATAAAGTTAAAACTTGTGCATCACCTATAGTAGGTGCGTGTGTGTGTGTGTGTGTGTGTAGCAAAAGTTAAATGAAGACGAGTGTAGTTTGATTATTGTGTGTGGGTTGAGGATAGTGTTTCTTTAAAATGAGGATTATGAGACATTTAAAGATAAAAAATGTATACATCCATTCAAACCTTTCATGCAGCACATGAAAAGTCTAATTATTAAAAGTTAATGAGTAGTGTTGATGTGTGTTCTGGGATGGTTAAGGAATATCTGGGGGGTCAAGCACTAGACATTAAAAGGAAATCTGGGACGGAGGCTCTGTGTTAGTGTGTAATTGCTTTGAGCCTGCAGATCTTCAGTTAACAGAACCCTTTCATAGACCGGCCCCGGCACCGCTGACCTACTTACATATGAAT